GAAGAATTGATGAAAACATTATCCCAAATCTATGCATACGTATGTATATTATTGAAATTGTGTCATTTATTGAAAAAGCAAACCAAAAAATAAAATATAATCACATTAAATCCAAGCGCAACCTGATGTTCTATCAGAAGCACGCTTTTCTAAAACTGGATATTCGTTGAATAAAATGTTTTTTATTCAATAAAATTATTTATTCAAATTTCGTTACTAAATTACGAATAAACGTTTAGACGACTAAGAAATAAATATTGTATTTTATAATTAAGAAAATTTAAAATTATAAGATTAGCACTCGGTTTTTAGTGAAAAATATATGAATTAAATTTTACGCTAAGCGTGCGTAAATCAAGTTCCTCGTAAGTTAACGGCATTTTAATATTAATCACCCCATTTAAATATTTCGTATTCTTTTTTTGAAAATAATCAGTTTTAATTTTTCTCAGCTTCTGCGAAATAAAAAACAATTGAAACTCTATATTTTTTAATAGAAAAATAGGTAGATTATTATGGTATAAAAAAATTATACCTCATAATTCAACATTTTTCCTTCTCAATTAAATTAAATAACAAAAAATAATAAATAATTATTAAAAATTATTTTTTGCATGAAATTATCTTAGAGTAATTGAGTTTTATGAGTCTGTGCAATTTTTTTAAAATTGCTTCATTAGTTTTACAAATATGACTAAAAACGCAAGAATTGAAATTAGCATTAATGGGTCCACACTTTGAATCGCTTTCCTGACCAAACTTTCTCAGATTGCGGCTACTATTTAAAAAAATAAATGTCTGTTCAGAGAAAGTGCGTTTTTGTGACCGATTTCTTCACTTAATTAATAGTTTAGCACTAAATAATTGAGGTCATCCCCAGGAACCATTAAGATTGACACCTAGTACGTGAAAATCCGATCATTAGAACGAAAGTTATTGAGGGTTAAGATCCCACTGTACATTCACGTGTGAAAGTGTGATAAATTATATATATTATTCGTAATGGCTAACTAAAATATTACGTAATACGTCACTCGTAATTCTTGTCAACTCATTTTAAATTGCTTCCATTGACAAACCGACGAAGACCCATCCAATTCAAAAAAAATAGTTAACCATTTTTCCTTACTATGCTAACGTAAAAAGTAGTTCCCTGTAATCACTCCTTCTTATTGCTCTACTCTTATTGCCCCACTTTTTTGAAAAAGTAGCGACCACAATTGTTTGTAGTGTAGTTCTTCCGACATTTATAACAATTTTTATAAAAAGAATATTTCTTTTAAAGTTCAAAAGTTTCGTTTTAAGTTAAATAATTAATTCGAGTTGATTTAAAGATATTAGTCCCGCGAATAAGTTGTTTAAATTATAAGTGGTTTTAAAGATTTGTTTTCTTATTTGTATCTCTTTATAAAGCGATTATCTTATGCGAAAATACAATTGGATTTTCCCTCGTGCGTGCTTTTTAATTTCAATTAAAAATGATAAGGAAAGTAAAAAAATTGATTCAAGTTAGCTTTTGAACAAATCTAAGACACTGTCGCAGTTATACTTTGTGTAATGTTACTCTTTTATTTAAGTCTTTTCTTTCAATTTTTTTTAAACCTTTATTCACTTTTAATGATATAACAGTTTGAGTTTATTCTATGTGAAACTTACAAGTGATGTTTCTTAATTTAAGGGATTTTTTTCAACTTAAACGTAAATATACTGAAGATATCTGTTCGTCCTACATTGCTAGTCATTTAGCTTCCTGTGGAGAGATATATAATTTGTCTACGGTAAGAACTCACCCCCGTCATAAAGTCTGAGGCCATTTGTTGCTATGGAAGTCCATTTCAGGGAGGGTAGCACTCTAGGACTATAGACCGAAGATTTCCTTTCTGTCGTTGGCCAAAACTTGTACTAAAGCATAAAATAATTCGTTGAAATAGTCTCTCATGTGAATGGTTCTTAATTTAGACCCTCTATTATCATTCGTATTTTGCCGTCTTTTGGAAGAGGATGTCATTAAAACTAATTTATGACTTTAACCCACTATAGATGTTAATTTATTGGCTATTTCTTCCCGGTTTTTAAACTCATTTGCTTCTCCACTCAATCAATTTTTCAGAATAAACTCTCTGACTGAAAGATGAACCTCAAAACAACTTTTTCGTTCTTCAATGACCCCACAAATGTTAAACAAGAACAAAGAACCACCCAGAAGGGGGCAACCACAAACGATTTGCAGCTTTTGTGGCAGGGTTAAATTTCTTCTTTCAATTTGTTTTTGTAGAATATAAAATTTCTTTCAATTTGCTTTTGTTGGGTATCAATTTGGAACGAAAACCTTCTGCCTCTCCAAGATGCTATCAAGGGAATGTCGGCTTTAATATTAATGGAAATCCTCAAATCGTTATAAATTTTAGCGAATCCTTCTTATCGACCTCTTTATAACTTCGAATTTTTCCTTATTATATAAGATACTCAATTTAGGTGTTACTCTTGTATTTTATCTTCTTATCACGCTGTAAATATATCCTTATCTCGTATCTTTTACACTGCTTTATTTCAAATCCTTACATTTGTTACCCCTTTCGTTTCTAGTTAAATTTAGGCATGTCTTTGCTAAAATTTTGTCAAGAAACGATGCACTTATTTCGGTAAAAAAAATTGTCTGTTTAATATAATTAATGAAATAAAAGATCTCTGAACATGCAGTTTGAATTGTCAAGATTTTTGTGCTGGTTAATTATTTTTTCCTTGTATGGGCAAGTATTTGATTTGTAGCATATGCTTGTTTGTTTTAATTGGAAACAACCGATGATTGTATTTGGATATAGCAAGTCTCTGTATTATTTTCATAAATCTATGATTTTGATTATTTTTAGTGTTTACTTTATTCCAAATTGAGTGATATCAATCTTTTCTTTGTTAAGCACAAGAAGTGTGACTATTGGTTTGCTGATATCCCATGATAGTTTATTACAACCCCGTTTGCTTTAATTTCACTTGATACTATTTCTTAAATTTGTTTTTATGTTGAAATCAATAACTGTTATTCATTCAATGACTGAATAATTAATATCCAAGTACAATTTCAATACCCATAAGAAGAATTTAGCTGATCCGACCCCCGCCCAAATTTGAGCACTCGGAGGATATGACCCGCCGCCGCGACAGCCCAGTCGAGGGGGCCGCAATCCGACAGCCGGCACATGCTCCCAGCCGACCAACCAGATCAGTTAGGTCACATCCGTGGCATTTATCAAAAACCAAACATATAAAGCTGATGGCAACAGCAAGAAAACATTAAAAGCTCCAAGGGGTCCACTTTATAATACAGTTTGCCGGCGAGACCTCCCTTATAGTGAGCCAGTGAACCTACAAACCATTTCATTGTTGTATAAAGTAAAACAAGTAAAATGAAGGATTAACAACAGGCAGGCCCAGTGGAGACAAGAGAAGAGTCTTGCATAACAAATCGTAGGTTGCAAGCAAATGAAAATATAAAATTTTGCACACAGAAAAAAGTAAAAATTACGGAGCAAATCAGCGAACTCACTACACCAAATATACAATGAATCAGTAGTTGGCAAGTGGCCTCAGAGGAAGCATTTAAGTAAAAACAACAGGAACAATAGTCAATACCCGTAAGGAATAGTTTGTCCGACCCGCCGAAAATTTGGACACACGGTGGAAATGACCCGTCGCCGCGATTGCCCAGACGAGGGGGTCGCGATTCGAACACCCGCACATGTGCCCAGCCGGACAACCAGTTCGGCTAGGCACATCCGTGGCATTTATTAAAAAGATCCAACTTTACAGAATTTTTTTAAAAACAGGTGACGGCCCCAGCAATAGGAAATTAAGCTCCGAGAGGTTCGCCTTATAATGCAGTTTGCCGACGAAACCTCCCTTATAGTGAGCAAAGTTTACAGACCATTCCAACAGATACATGGTTGCAGTAACATAGTATACAAAATTGCATAAAATATTGTTATGTCTGCCTTCATAAAAGGATAAAACAGTTATATAAAAATCGAACCAAAAACGTTCCAATAAATAATAATGAGATGCAATAGAGTGAGATTAAAACTAATATGTTTGAGGCAGGGCAGGTGGTCGCATAGTAGCACTCCAAGGAGAAGCAAGAAGAGCAATGAGGCCAAGTTTAATCCATGTGTAAGGAGTCCAAGAGATCATCTGGTGTCATAATGTCCACCAAGGTACGTTTGATAATCTCGATAATAGCCTGTTTTTGTACTTAAGGTCTGAACCAAAGTGTCATGTCGTTCATGTTATGGAAAAGGTTACCACGAAGTGTCCGAAATTTTTCGCACTAGGTGATAAAGTGTCTGAGGGATTGATACCTTCCACAATATTTACAGCTAGTAGTGGCATGAAATAGCCTAGCTTGGTGCTCGCCGAACACTCCGTGACCAGTAAGGAATTGATTCAGAAAGAAATCACTAGAAAACCTATTCTCCTTGACATTTGGGTAGAAAGTGTGGGAGTGTCTCCCATTAGTTGTGTTTGACCACCTGCCAAATCGCATTGCTTACCCACCTCAACCTGTAAATTAATTTGTGGTTTCGTCAGAGGATAAAAGTAGTCGATCCCGCCATGTTTGGCTAGCATATAGCTGATATGCTAGTCAATACCCATAATATTATTATTATGAAAGGTCTCTTCCAGTACAAAGGTATGGTCAGCAAAATTCACATTATCTTATAACAAATAAAATATTTCCTTTGCAATAAAAGCGTTAATTAAGTTTGCATATAAAAATCTCTTTCTTTCAGACTAGAGGATGTCTTTTCATAGCAAAAATGTAGAAAAATATACGCATTTTTTATCGCTTTAACAGTATTAGAAAATTTTAATGTAAAAGTAAACTTATTTTTTAAATATTTTATAACTTTTGCAATTGTATTTTTATACTTAAAATATTGTTCAAAATCATCCTCGAATGATACAGATATTCAAAAAAATAATGCAAATGAATTTACATTGCAAACATTTATTACATAATTTAGATTTCCCTTTAGGTACAGAATGTTTAAAACAAAAAGAATTAGAATACACAAAAAGAGGAAAAAATTATAAATCAGTGAAATGCAGATTGGAATGATTCACTAACTACTGCAGCAGATTGTGCTGCAGAACCATAGTTGACATTTCCAATGCTAGCTGAACCAAGAATATGAATCAAAGCTGCGATCAATTCAACGAGTGCTTGTATAGTAACTTCACATTCAGAAGCTCCGGGATTACCAGCTCTTACTTGAGACATTACAGTTCCAATTGTATTTGAAAGATTTGAAGCATTAGCTGTACCTCCAGACACTAATTTTGACGCAACAAAAGAAATTCGAGAAGTTGATGCTGGAGACGAAATCGCCGATGCTGCAGCGGATGCTGCTGCGGCACCTGATTCACCTGGTCCATAACCACCGGGTCCATATCCACCTGAACCTCCTGATCCACCTGCTGCAGCGGCTGCTGCTGCGGCTGCGTCACCTGATCCGCCGGGTCCATAACCACCTGGACCATATCCACCTGGTCCGTATCCACCTGGTCCACCTGCTGCTGCAGCGGCTGCTGCTGCGGCACCTGATCCTCCTTGTCCATAACCACCTGGTCCATATCCACCTGGTCCACCAGATCCACCTGCTGCTGCAGCAGCTGCTGCTGCGGCACCTGATCCTCCTGGTCCATAACCGCCTGGTCCATATCCTCTTGAGCCTCCTGATCCACCTGCTGCAGCGGCTACTGCTGCGGCTGCGTCACCTGATCCGCCGGGTCCATAACCACCTGGACCATATCCACCTAGTCCACCAGATCCACCTGCTGCGGCAGCGGCTGCTGCTGCGTCGCCTGATCCTCCTGGTCCATATCCACCTGGTCCATAACCACCTGATCCATTTCCTCCTGAACCTCCTGATCCACCTGCTGCTGCAGCAGCTGCGGCTGCGTCTCCTGATCCGCCGGGTCCATAACCACCTGGACCATATCCTCCTGGTCCGTATCCCCCTGGTCCACCCGATCCACCTGCTGCTGCAGCGGCTGCTGCTGCTGCGGCACCTGATCCTCCTGGTCCATAACCGCCTGGTCCATATCCTCCTGAGCCTCCTGATCCACCTGCTGCAGCGGCTGCTGCTGAGGCTGCGTCACCTGATCCGCCGGGTCCATAACCACCTGGACCATATCCACCTGGTCCGTATCCACCTGGTCCACCTGATCCACCTGCTGCTGCAGCGGCTGCTGTACTAGTGGCACTATCATTTCCTGATGCTTGGGCAAACATACTGATCATAGTACGGATTTCATTAACAAAAGCAGGATTTCTGCTTCCTGTTGTTTCGTAAAATGCCGCATCTAAAGCACTTGCTATGGCATCAGTAGTCGCTCGAACATTCTGACCGCTTGCATCCGATACGGCAATTTCTGCTACAGCAGATGCGAAGGCTGTGTTTAAAGCTTGCATTTTGTGGGGAGTTATATTTCCTTTCATTCCGCCCATTGCTCCCATCATTGTTTCTCCTATAGAACTCATATCCTCCATTTGGTCTTGCGAAAACGCTCCACAACTTCCAGCATAAGTCATAAAACTTTTAACAAACGCATCAGCTCTTTCATTGCTAGTCCATGGTGTATTGTGATTCCCTACAGCAAACTTGCTGTGAAGGCATACAGCTAGCAAAAAAGCTAAAGAAAGTCGACTGAACCAAAACATCTTTAAGTAAAGCTCGACTGAATACTTTTCCTGTTCCTCCTGCCTCCTTTTTATACAGCAGTTTTCGTGAGAAGGAGCAGGTTTGTCAATATCATATAACGCGAGCTTTGACGCAAATGCCATCTTCAGGTGTAAATACACCTGCTTTTCAGTGCGACGTGGAACATTTTACGTAGCATTTTTTTGAATAATTTGATATCTGTTAAGCCTTATGAAAATTTTATGTTTAGCCTTATTAAACTTAAAATGATCGTTTTTTATACAATTTTTGATGGCTTGAACTACAGTGCTGAGATTCATGAACATTTTATTATTTAACAGTAATTTATTAATACATCATCTTAATGAATTCGGTATAATTTTTATTCGGTGCGAAAAGAGGATGTGTTTCAATTTAAAATTTTGGAAGCAAATATTTTTTTTATTTTTGGTTTCCATTCACGTTGATTTGCAGAACTTGAGTTTGAAATAAATTGAGGGAAAATTTTTTATTGGAAATATCACATTTTCCTAACATTCATCTTTTTGAAGAAATCATTAAAATCATTTCTTCTTGACTAATTTGAAATCCTCAATCATTTTCGGAATTTCAATCATGACGGCAATGGTTTAAAATTTTGAACTTTTATTTTAATGTATTTTGGAGCAGTCCCGCTGTGGACCGATCTTAAAGACACGATTCCCAGCAGTTTCCCTGCAGGTTGGGTGACTGCAATGAGATCGAGGGTATGGATCCTTCATTAAAATGTTCTACCTACTACCGTACATTATAACGTTCTACCTAAGGGTCGTCGGGCTACCGAAGTGGGGAGGGGGATCCTCTGCAGAGGATCAAAATTGTGATGGCATGTTTTCGAATCATCTTCAAGGAGGATTCCGCCGCCAATAGCCCATTGAACAGCTCCAGTGCAACGTAAATAAATTACAACTAATACTTAAAATTATATCTATGTTTTTTAAAATCGATTCAAAATATTTGCCGCAACTTCGAATTTTACAAAAATATTTTAGTTGAACAGAGAACTTGATTTTTTTTTAAATGAATCTTCTTATTTAAATTTTTTAATACGAAAAAAAATATGCTCTAGTTTCTGTAGAGTACGCCAAATTGAAGCGAATCTTATCAAAAACATTTTTTAAAAAATACTAATTCTTAGAAATAATTCCTTTTTTTTAAAGCCTATTTTGTTTCTAATTACTTTCTTTTTCTGAATACGTTTTACAAATAAATCGAAGTATTGTTTTCGTCAGGGGTTAACATCTTTTTTTTGTGCGTGTGTATTCAGAAAAATAATCACGCTTCATGTTAATTCAGAATTGCAATGAATAAAATCACATACCAAAAAGATTATCTAAGTTTAGACAATATAAAAAGCGTAAAAATAAATATTTGTTTACAGTTTATAATTGCGCAATCTTATTGTTTACTTTTCTCTTAAGAAGAGTTTCTAAAATTATATACACGTAGTCAATTTGAAAAAATAAACTCACCATTCCATAATCAGAAAGTACCGCAGTGGACTGATCGTTAAGACACGGTTTCCAGCAGATCATCGAAGTTAAGCATCACTGGCTGCGGTCAGTGTGCGGGTGGGTGACCACTTGGATCAGTTTGCGTAGGGACCGAGGGTGTACGGTATGGGTCCTCGTTAAACTGTGCTACCGTAAAGTGCTCGACTTCGCGAGCAGGTCGTCGGGCTACCGAAGCGGGGATGCCATCCCCTGCGCAGAGGATCAAAATTGTGATGGCATGTTTTCGGATCATCCTCCGGGATGTTTCCCAGACCGTCGCCAATAGCCCATTGTGCAGCTCTAGTGCGACGTAAATTAGCAGCAACAACAACATCATAATCAGAACAATGAGAAGATTTAATTTTTTGACTACTAATGTTCAACTCTGAAGCCTTGAAATTTTGAACCCAATCCGGAGGACAAGAGAACTCCTGGCTCAATTATTGCTAGAAATTTACCCTCCTGATGAACTTTTGATTGAACTAACCCACATTTGCTTTACAGGGATCGGAAGACCACGAAAACTTCCAACTGTTAGCCTGATGACCCAAACTCCTAATCCATCCACCACTGAGGATATTTTACTGTGTTCGGCACGAGATGGGTGAGTAATTCTTTTTGGCCAGTCATCGCAGAAATTCAAACCCAGGTCACCTCATTGAGAGGTGAGCAAGCTATCCCCTGAGCCTCCATGGCCCTGATAGATTTAAAGTTGACACATAAACAAAAACAATTGTCCACGATTGCAGCAATTAAACCGAAAGAGCCGTGGTGGCTCGCGTACCATTTAGGTGAACCGGGTTCGAATCTCAGCGATGGCTTGTTGACACGAATTCCGTTCCCGGTCCTCGCCGACAAAGGTGCTGAGGTTAAATATCCTCAGAAATAGGCGGATCATGGGTTACAGCCCCCTTGTCGTTAGGCTAACCGTATTAGGCATTCGTGGTTTTCCCCTCCCTGTAAAGCAAATGCGGATTAGTTCCGTCAAAAAGTCCTCCATGAAGGCAAATTTCTCCCAATACTTTTTCTAGCAGTTCCTTTGTCTTTTGGATATAATTTAAAATTACAAGGCTACGGAGTTAATCATTAGTAGTCGTACACCCGAAATTCGGTCACCTGTTCAATGACGGTTATGAAGTAAAATTATACCAAAGTCGAAAGATCCCAAAAAGAAAATGCGTGATTTAAATAACTATAAATGCCATGATTTTGTTTAGAGATTTGAAGAAATATAAATAAAAGAATGTTTAGAAGGTCACCCTTTATCGGCAATGGAGGTTTAAATATGATAAATTTAGGTCGGCAATGGAGGTTTAAATTATATAATACGGTGTTTACAAACATTAAACCTAACTCTATCATCATAGCAATTTTTGGCCCAGAAAAATTTAAAAGAATATGTGTTTTTGAATAGAGCATCTCAAACATATTCGGTGGAAGACCTTTGTGTTCAAACAGTCAACGTTTGTTGTAATCTATCTGGACACTGCTCAGACTCGACACTTCTTGGGTGAGCCAGGACAATGATTCTATAAACGCTTGCAGACAGAGAAAACAACGAAATCATATGATGGTAGTGGGCCTTTATAGAAATGTTCTGAAGTAGATGTCCTGATGTCACTAAATTAGACTCCTCCCTCATAGAGCGTAGGCCTATCAGCAGCACGTAAGGTCAAGTTTTTATTTACTTACTTTTTGTCATTAGATAGGTATTTTTTTTTCGATCTGATTTCTCGAGATATCTCTATTTTTAAGTATACTTTCTTCTGGAAAAATTTACATCTGCTATAAAAAAAAGGGGTTCGGAAGGGCGAGTCTCAAGATCGGAATGAAAAACTTTTCCATTTTTGATCCTGGGAAACCTCCAGGAAAGACCACCTGTTGCGAAGGAGGCACAAATTCCATAGACTTTGGGTTGAATACAACTTCAATAGAGAATCTCTACCAGCGACCGGCTGAAATCTCTGCATCAAATGCGGAGAAAGTCAAACAAGAAAACACGAGAGAATGTCACCAAAAAAATAATAAATAAAAAAATAAAAAATATATAATTAGATTAAGATGCGTTCAAAATATTTGTGTGGTGCCTTTACATTTAGCGAGCTCTTTTTGACGATCGCTGAATGTGATCCTCATAATACAGTCAAAGATGTGCAATCAATGCTTTATTTTAAGAGTTATATTAGAAAGAAAAAAAAGCATTTTAGAAAGAAACAAAGCATCTCCAACAAACCTCTACTCATCTTTTAAAGCTAACTCATTTTTAGGATGCGAAATTCAACTTAAACTTAAACAAAAAAAAACATAATTGTTTATTTATTTAAAATAGTTCTATCATCCATAACTTATTTGTAACCGCCGTTGAACTGCCGACTTAATTTCGGGTTAACGACTACTAACGCTCAACTCGTAACCTTGTTATTCCGAACCCGAGCCAGAAGACAAGGGAACTCCTGGATCCATGATTGGGGGAAATTTGCCTTTGTGGAGGACTTTCTCGATGGAACTCGCCTGATTCTCTTTTTCTCACCAACCAGAGTCAAAACCTGTCTTAAATAATGCCCAATGACCCTACTTGAAATAATTAAACCTCGTAACCATAGTAACTGCCACCACTGAAGACGAATGGATAGGGGAGTTCTTTGCATATACAAACTTTGCATATACAAACTATATGGTATCCTAGGCAACGAGGAGGCGGATCAGGCAGCCAAGGAAGCCGTCAGCCTCAGCCAAATCAATTTAGAGGTCCCAAGTTCCAAGGCCCAGATCAAAACAATCATCAAGTCCAACAACCTAAATAGATGGAAAACAGAATGGCAGAGCTCCGAGAGAGGTCAACAAACCTATATTTTTTTTAAAGACCCTTCCACCAAACGACTACAGGCCAACTTTTACTTAAACCAATTACTTACTGGAGATACCAAAATAGACTTTTCAATAAAAACCCAAATTGTACCTACTGTGGGGACAATCAGACAATCGAACACTTGATCTTGAACTGCCCACACTTCCAGACACTCCGTGGAAACCATTTTGCAGGACAAAATTTGCACCAATGCTTTGCTAAGTTGGTCTGTAGAAACATAGTTAAACAAATTATAAAGGTAACATTGGAGGACACTCTGAACCACATTTAACTATGCTCGGAGCCTGCGAACACTATTGCTGGTGTCTTGTGTTTCTGTCTAATTTCATTTTAAGCTTCTCTACGTTTTAACTTGTATTGTTTTGTTTTGATTCTTAACTTGTTCTGCCTTTTAACCTTTTTATCGAATTTTAACTTCTATATTTTATCACTGTTTTGCATGTTCCTGTAAAGTTTTAACATTTATTGGTTTTTGGGTGATTTTGTTTTTTTTTTTAAACCTTTTTACTACTTTATTATTTTATTTGGTTTTAACTTGTTTTATAGAATTGTACTGAACATTAATTTAGATATTCGGATTTTTATATTCACTGTTGATAGAGATTTACGTATTTTTAATGTATGATTTGTGTATGTATCAACT